CAGCATCGGGACACAGTCATCGTCATCATCACCATCAGCAGCAGCATCATCATCGGGACACCATCATGATCACCATCGTTATCATCATCATCATCATCATCATCATCATCATCATCATCATCATCACCGGGACACCATCATCATCATCTCATCCTCATCATCGAAATCATCATTAGCATCATCAACATCATCATCAGCATCATCATCGTCATCATCGGGGCACCACCATCATCATTACCAACATCAGCATCAACATCATCATCATCATCATCATCATCATCATCATCACCATCGGGACGCCATCATCATCAACATCATCATCATCATCACCATCAGAATAATCATCATCATCGAGACGCCATAATCATCATCATCAACAACAACATCATCATCATCGGGACACAAACATAATCAGCATCATCAACATCAACATCATCGTACTCATCATCATCATCATCATCATCATCATCATCATCATCATCATCATCATCATCATCATCATCATCATCATCATCATCATCATCATCATCATCATCATCATCATCATCATCGCGGGACACCGCGGGACACCGGCGGGACACCGCGGGGCACCGCGGGACACCGCGGGACACCGCGGGGGACCGGCGGGACACAGCGCGGCACCGGCCGCCCGGTCAAGGTTCTTTTGGTCCGGCCGCGCCTCAGCCACACGGGACTTTCGCGGGACACCGGCGGGACACCGCGGGGCACCGGCCGCCCGGTCAAGGTTCTTTTGGTCCGGCCGCGCCTCAGCCACAGGAGACTTTTTCTCGCCCGCCCACGCAGCTTCGCCTCGCCCGCACGCACGGCACGCACGAACACGAAACCGATACGATTTCCCGGTAGGGAGGCTCTCCGTTCCACTTCGATCTCACCCCCTCACCTCCGATCGTTTGAACACCTCCAAGAACATGGGACAACCTACGAAAAACCGAGAACCTCCAAGAACGTTGACGCAAGGACCGAGCAGGGTGCTAATCAGGATCGGGGACACAACAAACGATCCGCAGACACATTCTGGAGTGCGGTTCGACCAGAATTGCGATGCCGATCCAGCCGCAGCTGACGAGGGCGCTCTGGGAGGCCCGAAAGGACGAGAAACGTACTGAAGTCTGAGATCCGACGCTGCGAATAAATCCCACCAGGCCTTTAGGGCGTGAGTGCTTTAGCGAGTTTCTTCTTCCAACCCCCTTCTTCCCCTTCGGGATAGGGTTTTCTCACTGTTCATCATCAATAAACACCCCCTCCCCCAGGCGACTGGCAGCCAATCTGGACCAATGACCCACACACACACCATCCCTGGTAAACAACACAAAGTGCATGTTGCCTGCAAATCTGGCGCATGCGCGGGCCCCCCCGCGACCACTGTGCATTGGTTTTTGATAGTTGTTCGGGACGGTGGGGGTGCCAGCATATTGCTTGCTGCGCGCAAGCCAACCATCTCTGTCGACAAACACTACAATAATCCGGGCGAAAGGCCCAACCATGTGCAATTGTGAATACCGTGTTGTGGCGCCGATTTCGGAGGAACTCCCTATGGGGCCACAACCCGTGTGAGAGGTGCGCCAAAATGAGGCGGCGCCGCCATGTGGACCTTGCCACTTGGGTCTTCGGTAGATCTCCCTAACCGTGTGAGGAGTGCGCCCAAATGGGGCGGCGCCACCATGTGGACCCTGCCACTGGGGCCTTCGGTGGAGCTCCCTATGGGGCCACGAAGCGTGTGAAAGGGTGCGCCAAAATGGGGCGGCGCCGCCACGTGGACCCTGCCACTGGGGCCTTCGGTGTAGCTCCCTACGGGGCCACGAAGCGTTGCACTGGGTGCGCCGAAACACAGACATGCGTAGGGCAGAGGCATGGGTGGGAGGATGGAGCAGGGGCAGGGGGCAGCGGGAAGGAGGAAACGCGGGGAACTGTCTCTTCAAAACGAGGACCCAACACCACAGGACGCTTAGGAACACTACACTGTGGCTACAAGTCTGGCATGCGCAGGGCCATCTCCTCTCTGAGCTCCCATCTGTTGCACGACTCCTCAAGGTATCACAAGTTGTCCGTCGGAGCCGCTGCTTTGCGCTCCCTGGAAGAGCCGCCTCCTTGAGCTCCTCGCGGCCAAGCCCCTTGAGCGCCGAGGGGCCAAGGCCCCAGGCACCTGGGGTTCCTGCTGGTTCCCCGTGGCTGACGCACCTGGCGCGGCTGGAGCACGCGGCACCGTTGGCGCACGTGGATCATGTGCCGCACCTGGCACGCTTGGGCCTCCAGGGCGCCTGGTGCACCTGGAACCTGCGGCGCGCATGGCATGCGTGGCGTTCCTAAGCGATCTGCTGGCACTCGGGTGTTATTTCTGTTTCGGGAGGGCGAGTGGGAGTGAGCTATAAGGCATGCTATCTAGGAGGGTACCTCGACTCCTCCCCCTACCCCCTACCCCCTACCCCTGGGTTTGGAGGGGGGGAGGCTCGCGAGACGATGGAGCGTCCAAGATGGCCTGGGCAAGGAATCCAAAATCATTGATGCTACTGAGGTTTGAACCACATGTTTGCCTCCTGGGGGGGGGGCCTAAATGAGAAGCCCCCCTCCTTTGATCGATTTCCTCAAAAAGGCGAGGCCACCAAGGATGCCCCAAGAGGGCCCCAGGAGGTGCCCAGAACGCCCCAAGAGGCCCCCAAGTGGCCCCCAAGATGCCCCCAAGAGGTTCCCAAGAGAACTCCAAGAGGCCCCAAGATGCCTCGCCGAGGCACTCAAGACGCCCCAAGAGGCCTCGACGAGAAGGCCAACAGACCCCGAAGATGCTCCAAGAGGTCCCTCAGATGCACCCAAGACGCCCCAAGAGGCCCCCGGGACTGCCAGGATACCCCCGAGACGCCCCAAGAGGACACCAAGAAGTTCCCAAGGGAAATCCGAAGAGACTCCGAGAGGCATGCAAGATGCCTCTGGCCTCTCTGCTCGCCCTCCTTCTCCTCCTCCTCCTCCTCCTCCCCCTCCTCCTCCTTCTCCTCCTCCTCCTCTTGCTCCTCCTCCGATTCCTCCTCTATCATCCCCCTGTTAAGGCACGACGTCTTACCTGGCCCTTCATTCCACTGCAGTCTCCTCCACATCCCTGATCAGGGCAACTCGTCTGGACCTCGTTTCTGGATGGGCTGGTAGGGTTTTTTTTTGGTCGGCGGCTCCAAGGCAACGGCCAAGGAGCGAAAGCGGCGTCCGGGTGGCGGTACGGGGCGAATTTGCAAACAAAGCCACCAGTGTCGGCGGACAAAGCTCGCACCCGCAAGACAAACTCGCAGTTGCACATGCACAGAACAAAATGAACTAAATTCGCAAGCAAACGCACATAGGCGCAGCAGCGTGAACCGGAGTAAACAGGCTGCCGAGAGGAAAGTGCGGATGCAACGGAGTGAGTCTCTGGGGCGGCGCCAGACTCTATGCCGACCTGCACAAGCCGAACGGCTGTGCGGTGTAACCGAGACAGTGCGCGGGGTAGACCAAAGGCTGTACAGGCGTGCAGGCTGAACCACTCAGCGCCCGGTCCTCAGAAATCCGCCTCCCAGTGCCGGGGGGGGCCAGCGGCAGCCCAAGGCGCACCATGGGTGGTAGGGTTAGGCGAAGCGTCTAAAATTGCAACATCGCGAAAATCGCGACCGGAGCCCAAAAGCCCATCTTGCTGCGGCATTTGTCAAGCAGGGGCATGAAACTGCCCCCAAAAGTGGGAACCACGCGCGTATCTCTATACAAGGTATCTGGGCCCTGCCTCATGGCTCCGCAGAAACTCCACAGGACATCGTAAAGTGTAGAATGTTATGGCTGGTTCTCCGGACGACAGGTCTAGAACTCCCACCAGCCCTTTAGGGAGTGAGTGCTACAGCGTGTTTATAATTCCATCTTCCCTCGTCATCTTCGGCGAGGGGTTTGCCCCCCTCCCCCCCCTCTCTACCCCCTGGACCTGGACAGGGGTGGCCGAGAGGTGTCAGAGCCTCTTTTTTGGCCTCGGCGAATAAACCCAAATCAGTGATTTCCAAGATGGCCCCAAGATGGCCAGCGAGGCTCCCAAGGGTGCCCCAAGACGGCTCCAAGAGATGCCCAGGAGGCCCCAAGAGGCCCCCGAGAGGCCCTCAAGAGGTCCCAAGATACCCCAAGGAGGCTCCCAAGAGACCCAAAGAGGCCTCAGGAGGCCCCCCAGAGGCACCCAAGATGCCCCAAGAGGCCTCGGCGAGATGGCCAGAATGGCGTCATGACTTTGGCCGCCTCGGCCTGATTTTACTTATAATTTGGCGACTTGTTGGCCTCCTGGGGGGGGGGGGAACCTTGATCAACGAGGCCGCCTCCTTGAATCGATCTCCTCCAGCCAAGATGGCTTCAAGATGGCCCCCGAGGCTCCCAAGGGTGCCCCAAGACGGCTCAAGAGGCCCCCAAGATGCCCCCGAGAGTGCCCCAAGAGACCCCAAAGAGGCCCCCGTAAGCCTCCTCCTCCTCCTCCTCCTGCTCCTCCGATTCCTCCTCCATCCTCCCCTTCTTGGGGTACGATGTCTTACCCAGCCCTGCATTATGTTGCATTATCCTCCACAGCCCTGATCAGGGCAACTCGTGTGGGCATCGTTTCTGGATGGGCTGGTGCGGCTACGAGAAACGTCTGTAAGGTGCAGATGTGTTTACACATCCATGGATCGACTAATCTATATATATATATATAGACATGTATATGTGTATGTATATATATATGTGTGTATATGTATATAGATATTTATATCCTCCCTCTCTTTATATATACATATATTTATATCGATCTACCTATCTATATGCATTTGCGTACATAGACGGTTCGTGTGTGTGGGAGTGCACCATTTGCCACTAAGTGGTAGACAGACATAACACAGCATAGTGGACATGCTCCTGGCCCCGAAAAAGCCGGGTGTGAAATATCAGAACGCCGGATCTCAGGGAACCTCAGGATCGAGGATGCGAGAACGTTAAGCCGCCGCCGCCACACGCGCCGCTCCGCGCAGAGCAGCGCCGCCAGCAGCTCGGCCGCGGAGCGGTGCCCCAGCCAGGCCAGCAGCCGATCGAACAGCAGGTCCGGGCCCCGCCGGCGCAGGTGGTCCGCGACCTCTGCACCCCTCCTCTTCCCCCCCTTCGTCGTCTCGTCGGCGTCCTCCTCCTCCTCCTTCTCCTCTTCCTCCATCTCCACCACCATCATCGCCATCGTAATCGTCATTATCATCATCATCATCATCATCATCATCATCATCATCACCTCCATGATCGTCATCCTCCTCCTCATCATCACCATCATAATTGCCATCATCGTCATGATCACCATCATCACCATCATCATCACCAGCATCGTCATCATCAGCATCTGCATAGCATCAGCATTGTCATGATAACCAGCATCATCACCATCATCACCATCATCATCAGCATCAGCATGAGCAGCATCCGCATCAGCATCAGCATCATCACCGTCATCGTCATCGTCATCATCATGATCATCATCATTACCCTCATCATCATCATCATCATCATCATCATCATCACTATCACCATCACCATCACCATCAGCATCAGCATCATCATCATTACAACCATCATCATCATCATCATCATCACCACCACCACCACCATCATCATCATCATCATCATCATCATCATCATCATCATCATCATCATCATCATCATTAGCATCATCAACAGCATCATCATCGCCATCATCATCGACATCTCCCTCCTCCTTCTGCTCCTCCTGCTCTTCCGCATCCTGCTCCTGCGCCGCGGCCTGAGGCAGAGTCCAGTCGCCATGTTAGCACCTCTTGAGAGGAAGCCTGGCCGAAGCGGGCTCCTACTAATCTTCCTCCCCCCTCCTCCTCCTCCCCCATCCGTCTTCCTCATAAAGAATTCCTCCCTGTCGCATACCGCAGTCGTGTCGGTAGGGCGGGTTATGGCGTCTTGCCTGAGTCTCACTCACCACTTATGACCTTGACGCTTGAACTATGCAACGAATTCATGGATGGAGGCGGGTCCGTTTCAGAATGTAGCTATCTTTTAAACGCCACGCACATCCGTCTTACAAGCTTAAACCAATTTCCAAGATGAAGGGCGGGTGGCTTTCAAACTGTGGTTCTCGCCTGAGTGCCGCACACATTCGTCTCAACAGTTGCCAGCAGCTTCAGCTACGGAGGACAGGTGGTTTCCAAAATGTGGCTCTCGCCTCCGCATCGCGCACGTGTGTCTGAATGTGTACAACAGCTTCTAGGATGGAGGGCGGTTCGTTTCGAAAATGCGGTTCTCGCCTGAGCGCCACGTTCAAGGATTCGTATGGCGAAAGTCCCAGCAACTCTGACACGGCTTAGGATTACCAGGACGCATCAGCCACGTTGATTCGTGGCGCTGAAGTCCAGGAATGGTGTTCTCGTGCGTTCGAGGGTTACCAAGACGCAGCAGGCACATTTTTCCGCTGCATTGGAGTCCCAATAATGGTGGGTTGGCACGATGGAAGGTTCTCAGACGGTTATCTTCAATTGAGCGACGTCCCCCCTTGAGCCGAAATTCTTGTAGTGGCCTTTACACCAGGTGAGCTCGGAGGGAGTTGTGTTGCAATAGCGTTTACGCGTCTAGGGTTCACACAAGTCCTCCTCCTCCTCCAACTCGTCCTTTCCTTCCATTTCCACCTCCTCCTCGTCTTCTTCCTCCGCCGCCTCCTGGGGAAAAAAATCACACGAAATTCACCTCGAACTCCAAAGCGACATTCTCCAGGACAACCCTCCCTGGCCTATATGATCGTTTTCTAAACGAAATCCGGATGTTGGCGCCATGAGACCTTGCCCGCCCCCGACGCTCCAGCTCACAGCTCATTTCGGGGAGACGTAAGACTCGGGTACGGGGGACTCGGGTTGGCCTGACGGGACCATCATGAAAATGACGACATCCAATCTGAAATTTGACGCGAACTCCCGCTGCAAACATCCCACGAACACCGGACCGTCCAAAGCAAGGACGCGCTCGTCAAAAAACGTCGGCAAACCCGAGTTCCGGCTTGTATACTCGAGTCTTACGTTCCCCCGACATGAGATCTTGCCCGCACCCCCGCACAATCTGAAATTTGACGCGAACTCCCGCTGCAAACATCCCATGAACACCGGACCGTCAAAAGCCAGGACGCGCTCGTCAAAAAACGTCGGCAAACCCGAGTTCCGGTTTGTTTACTAGAGTCTTACGTTCCCCTGACATGAGATCTTGCCCGCACCCGACGCTCCAGCTCACAGCTCATGGACTCAGGTCGGGCGTGCCCCCCTACAGGCGGATTTTGGGACGAAAAATAATTAATGGTTGACAAGTACACCACAAAATGGTCAAACATAGTGGAACAATCGTCCCCAGACCATTTGTTGCACTATTCCCCAATCAGTGCTTGCACTGAAGGGGTCCTAGCGGAAGTTGAAAAATTTGGCGAAAATTCCCGCCGAATTTGGTAGCAGGCTGGGTTCCCAAGGTCCCGGTACCAGGTTCCTGGGTTCCCGGTCATTGGTTCCAGGCCGCTTTCGGTGCGTTTTGGCTTCCCGGGCTCCCGGGTTCCTGGCCGATCTCCCCAGCGAAAACCATCCACTGGATTGGGTTTTTTCTCTGGCGTGATGTTTGAATCTTCCTTAGTGGAACAACCGTCCCCGGACCATTTTTGTTCTACTACTTTTGGATATTCCTCCTGCTGTAGAGGGACACGCCCGACTTTCTCATTGCACGCCCCGAGGCCGCCCCGCCTGCTGGGGCCGCCGCGCCACGAGCGCGGCGGCGCAGCCGGCGAAGTAGCCCGCCAGCGCCGGGCCTGGGCGGGGCGGCGGCGCGGCGGCGGCTTCCGCCGCCCCAAGGCGGGGCGGGGCGGGGGGGATCGGGGAGGGGGTAGAAGGAGGAGGCGGCGGAGGAGGAGGATGAGGAGGAGGATCAGGGCGGAGGAGGCGGAGGAGGTGGAGGCGGAGGCGCAGGAGGAGGCGGAGGAAGAGGCGGAGGAGGAGGAGGAGGAGGGCGGGGAGAAGGCGAGGGGGCAGAAGGAGGACGCGGGGACGCGTTGCGCGACACTGTCGCTTCGTCGCCCGCGGCCGCGGGCGGCGGGCCCCCGCGCGGCCCGCGGGCCCAAGCCACCCTCCACGCCTCGTCGGTGGACTCCTGGCGGTTCATCTCCACGAGGGCGAGGTCCAGGCACATGCGACCGCACTGCTAACAGCGGTCGGGGCACACGTCGACTCGCTGGGCACGCCCTCTTGGGGAGGGCCGAATCAAGGTCGGCACAGGCACGACCACCCAGCGAGCCCGTCACCCGACTTGTCGCAGCGGGTCTCGTCGAAGTCCAGGAGCTCCGAGCACTCGAAGTAGTGCTCCGCTTCGGGCGGCGGGTTAGTTACATTTCGACTGCCCGAAAATGTACAGCTCGGTGCCCTCCACGCAGTCCAGGACCCGCAAGAGCTCGATCGCGAGCGTGTAGTCGAGGCCACACAGGAGCATGTTCGGCGTGTCGATGGGCCCCGTATCACGACAGAGCTGCCCAGCTCGCGGCTGGAACAGCAGGTTCATCATGTCCGCGGGTCCCAGGTCATCATATCAGTGTGTAGTGTACGTCACCTCCGTTCATGCAAGCCACCATCGGCATGAATAGTTTGGCCTGCTGCAACCTGCGAGTCCAGTGGCGACGAAACTCTCCAATTTGACCCCAAGTTGTCTACGCATTGCCCCACACCACCAGGCGGCGGCCTGTGGTGTGAGACGCTGCGCCCTCACAAGGGGTCTGGGCAGAGGGGCCCCTGCCCCTGAGAAGGACGCAGGCGCGAACTTCCCAGGGGCGGCACACCGCGTGGGACACCAGGATTTGCCCGTCGTGCTGCAGCAGGCCCTGTAGGTGCAGTGTCGTCCAAGACTCCGTTCCAGC